AAGGGTCCTGGTTTGTCTAGGGGGCCTCCTCTTTGATGATGCACAAGGCCTCCAGAGCACCTGTCCAGTCAGAATTGCTGCCGTCTAAGATCAGAGCCTCTAACAGGAGGAATAAGTTTTCTGTCCTGAGATCTGAGGCCCGAAGTGTGGGCTGGTTGCTCTGAGGATTGATGGGCAGGCTCTGCTCCTCTGGACAGAGCTGTCCAAGAGCCATAAGGAACAGAGGCTCCCCCATGGGTGCAGACCTGCCTGGAGGCAGAACCTCCAGGTTCTGCCCACCAAGGGGACCCCAGGAAAGGCAGCATGCCTTCTTTCTCTCTCTTTCACTTAGAAGACCCCTCCCTGGGAGCTTGAGCACCTTCTATATGTTGGGGGTGGGGCAATGGGAGAGGGGTCTTAGGACCCACCCTTCCCTGCCCAGGGCATGACCCTGCCTGTAGCCCTCCCAGCACACCAGACCTACCCGGCCAGAAAGCATTACTGACACATACTTTGAGCAAGCCCCAGCAGGTGGGCAGAAGCTTGAGTGCCTGCGGCCAAGCATTTGCCCGCTTCCCTGGGCGGCAGCAGCACGTTTTGTCTGGGAAGGAATGTGGAAGCGCCAAAGTGTTAAACACCTCCAGGGTGTCACCTGTGGAGGCTTGGAGGAAGACTGAGGTAGTGCTCTCCAGTGAGTCATGGGCACTCAGCCCCAGAATGAGGGACTCAGAGAGGGCGCTGTAAAAACATTCAGCTGTGTCCTCATGTCCACCGGCTCAGGCCACCTCATATGGCTTATTTTTAGAGGAAAAATTCCATTGGTTCATTCATTCATTTATTCATTCAACAAAGTCTTACCAGCAATTTCAGGGGGTAAAAAGCCCAGAGGGAGGAAGAATGCATCCCCTTATGGGATTTCACAGCCGGTGATACAGACAGTCCTATGACAATTTTACAAAGGGAGGGACAGATTGAACTGGGAATAGGCGGTCTGGCAGACCGGGATTGTCTTTCCTCACAACCTGAGACCCAATTAGTTTCATGTCCAACCCAGCATAGGTGAGCTAGCAGGGTTGTCCCTGCTGTTTGTGCCGAGGCTTCTCTGCAAGGTCTGCTCAGTATAATGCATGTCTGACACCAGCCATTGAACAAATAAGCTACTCAAACTGCAGACTGCACCTGGTGGAGTTTAGGAAAATTACCAGGACTGTCAGCTGCAGTGGTGAACCTCAGGTGTCCATGGCCCCCACTACAGCAGGCCATCCCTTTTCACCCCTTCAGGAATGGGCAACCCACCATCTCCCAAGCACCAGCACTGGTACTGCTCTCAGATCCAAGGAGCCTTTCCTACCCTGAAAATCTACCTCCTGGCCAAAGTCCACCTCCTGGCTGCCTGCAGCTTCTGGTCCCCACCTCTCAGACCCTGCACAGTAGTGCGGGGTCCTGACACTTCTGAATTCTCCAACCACACTTAAATAGGGTAAATACAAGGCCTCACATTTGGTTAAAAAATCCAAATGCAGCACTAGGTGGCAAAGCAAAAGGGCGGTTGTCCACTGGGCTGCATCCTGCAGGGGACTTTAGGCTCCAGGCAGACATAGGTGCTTTTCAAACTTGCTAGAGGACAGCTTGCATTTTGAGTTTTCTTTTTAAACTTTCAATCCATTACACAATACCTAAAAATGCAGCAGTGCAGGCACTGCCAGGATGTCCCCACACACCATGTATTTTCAATTTCTGTTCTTATTTCTTCAAAGACAACATGTGGACCACCCTCTATGTATAACCAATATTTGCATGGACAGGAGGTACATTCCAGCCTTGCTTTCCTGTCCTGGGCGATACCTGCAGGACAGAACCAGATGTTTCCCATCCTGTAGGCTGGAGACTTGCACAGGGTACCCACCATGAAGAGTGTAATTTGCAGCCTCTGTGAGACTGCTCCTCCTGTATGTATGTATCCTGTTCTCCTGACACAAAGGATTCTATCAAGTTTATGCAAATAAAACAGAAAATTACTTTATAAAAATTGATAACAAATGCAGCAAAATGGAGGGCAGCTAACCAGGGAGAAGCTGCCATACCCAGGCCCAAGATAGAGGTCTGAGTGTTTGGGTGGCTAGGTCAGAGGGATGGATATGAGGGTGAATGTGCCACAGTGGGTTTGCGAGGGGTCAAGATGAGGGAGATATGACTTGGTAGTTGTATGAACCAGTGTTCTGACAATATAGATTTTACCTGTGGCCATTTCTGACATTGTCTCTCAGGAAAATGATGTCCGTTTGTAGTTCTATGGAGGAACACTGTTCCTAGTCCCCCAAGGTCCTGCAACACTGGGGATGTCAGTGCGTGTCTGGATTTCTCTAGTTTTATAAACTAGCTACCACCATCACCAGCTTCAGGGGTGCAGAGAGAGACAGACAGGGTTAGGGGAGACATACACACACACACATACACACACACAGAAAGAGAGAGAGAGAGAGAGAAAGAGAGAGAGAGAGAGAGAGAGAGAGAGAGAGAGTAGAGGGAAAGGAAGGATTAGAGAGAGGGTTCTCTGGATTCCCACCTTCATCTGTCACACAGGAACATATGCTCCTGAAGGTTTCCACAGCTCTCAACATTCTGGTCTTAGGATCGGTTCACCACCTTTGGACCTTGGGCCTCAGGTATCAAACAATACTCTGAAATGATCCTGAGGAGACCGTGACCCTTCAAATTCCCACAGGGTGCTGCTGCTGCGGGCAGCCAACTCCTCCTCTCCCTTTACTCTCCCACCAAAAGCCACACCAACTTCAAAAGCCTAATTACTGCTGATTTGGGCTGTTTCCTGGCTGTTCCTCAGGTGAGGAAGTCCCCATCACTTTCACTTTTATATGTGAGCTGCTGGGGTGGGATGAGAAGGAATGGGACAGTGGCTTCCTTTTGCGGAGGAAGGGTAAAACAGAACGGCCAATTAGGAAGACTGGGCATAGAGGTGAGAAGTTATAAAGGGAGGGTACCTCAGGCCCCCTGGGGGGAGGGGTTGCTGGCGAAAGAAGGGAGCCACCGGTGGAAGCTCTGACAGGTGGGAAGATAGAGGCTTTCCCTTCTGTAAACCTCCATCTTTCCATGAGCCCCTTCCTGCCCCTGTGGGGCACAGTCTCCTCCTGTATCCAGCTGGCCTGGGAGCAGAGATGAGGAGGGGGAATTGGTCGTCCCCTAGGACACTGAGGTTGTGCCCACTAGACATGCTTCTTTTAAAAAAATGGAGAATCACTGAGTGTGCAAAGTGTGATTCCATTTTCCCAGGAGCCACGGGCTGCCCTAGACTCTTTTTTGGGCGGGTGCTTAATGGTAGTTTCTGGGGAGAGGACCCCTTCCATTTACCTGGAGAAGGACCGGTCATGGTCCATTCAGACAAAACACACATGGACCAGGTGAGAAGGGTGACGTGCGTGTGTTGGGGGCGGGTGGGGTGTCAAGGCTACAGCCCCGCGGGGTCAACAGGACAAAGCTCTCACTGCGTGGGGTAGGCAGGAGGCTGGTGACAGAGCCCTTCTTTAAGAGAAGAGCGCGAGGGCGAAGGTGCTTCCTCCCGCGCCCAGGAATGCGGCGGCGGCTCTAATTAGAAGCCTGAGAGGGAGCTGGCGGCCCGCGGGGCCCTCTGGTCGCTCTCCCTGGCTCCCCCCGCGGCTAGCGGGGCGAGTGTCAGTATCTCTGCGTCAGAGGCCCTCCTGCTGTAGCTCGTGCTCTGAAGGCGACCCCGGCTGCAGGTGCTACGCGGGTGAGGGGCGCGCAGGGATCTCCGACGCGCATCGCCAGGGCTCCACCACCTCTTCTAGACCGGGGGACCCGCCCCATTCATCCTCCAGCCCCGCCCCGTCCCGCCTGGCTGCGCCTGGAACCTAGTTCCACTCCGGGCGCTACCACTCTCGAACAATCTCGAAGAGAAAAATTATTATCGGATTAGATGTACTTGGGCTGGCTGGGTCTCTCCTTCCCCTCGGCGTAATTATTATAATTCCAGGCAAGCCGTCGGAGAGTTCCTGGGAGGGTGTGTGCAGCGCGAGCAAGTGTGTGGGGAGGCTTCTCTCCAACTCTGGGTCTTCTCCAACAGCACGCCAGGCCCCCTGGCGCGCGCTTTCCCCAAGGGAGCTTGGGGTGGCCTTGGCCTGTGGAGGTCCTGCCTGATCAGATGCCACCAGGGAGAGTAACCCTGACCCTCCTCCACCCATATGTTCTGTATACCCTCGGAATCCTTTCCTAGGTTTGTGTGCGCTTCCATTACCAGGTTCAGGACGGTCTTGCGAGAATATGCCTTCTCTGGGGCAGAAGACGGAGCGCCCCAGCCTTCTCAAAGGTGGGCTCCGGGGTCTCTCACTCAGGAAACCTCAAATTCGATACTCATTCCCTTTATACCTCTCGATAACCCCTCCTTGCCATCGAGGTCCAGGCAGAGGGATCTCAGAGAGGCCCCCTCAGGACACCCTCGCCGCTAGAGCGGCAGGAGGCGTGGAGGGCCTGGCACTGGCCCCACAGCTCCCGCCGCTCCTGGCCAGTCCTCACTGCTGTCTTTACGTAACTTCGCTGCTCCGAGCTGTTCGGTCTTGTCTCAGAGACTTTGTTTTAAGGTGTGTGTGTGTGTGTGTGTGTGTGTGTGTGTATAAGACACAGTCCCTAAGAAAAATCTCTGGCGAATCTCTCTCTCTCAGCTCGCCCTCCCGGCTTCCCTTGGACTCAGGCTGCCCAGACGTTCGTGACATCTCTGCGGACCCTCTTCCCGCCTCTCCCCAGCCCACTGTTCGCCCCGTCTCGCGCCGCGGCCTCTCTGGGCCCAAGGATCAAGGTCTCCGGAAGCTCCACCACCCGCATCCCAGCTCTGGCCCGAACAGGTCAAAAGTGGCCGCCAAAGGAAACACCCGCCCGCGGCCCGCGAGGTCTAAGGGGTAGGGCGTGGGCTCCTGGCCACTGCGGGCCTTGCCCGAAGAGATGGCGGATGAGGGCGCACAGAGGCCGCGGCGAACGCGAGGAAGCTCACTCACCACCAGATCGGGTAGCTGCCCAGCGCCTGGTTCAGGCCGTAGAGGAATAAGAAGTACCCGAGCCGGGCCATCTCGGAGCGGCAGAGCGCGGGCGCCGAGCGGGCCGGGGCCCTGGGAGCTGGCGAGCGGTTGTGTTGGGTTTTCCTGTGGCCACCGGTTGTGCGGGGTGCGCGGATCTTCGCGGGTGTGAGGGCTCCGAAGGAGGCGCTGGGCCAGGTGGGCCGGCGGGCCCCGGCCCAGGGCAGAGCGGGACGGCAGGGGCGGGGCAGCGCCGCGGGGGGCGCCCGCTGGGGCCCTGGCCGGGGCGGGGCAGGGAGGGCCGGGCAGGGGGCGGGCGGGGCTCTGGGCGCTGGCGCGACAGAGGCGCTGGCCCCTCCAGCGACTGCGGGATGCGTGGGGTGCACTGGGTGCGCCGAGTGTTCAGGGACTGCTGTCAGATGCGGATGGCGGAAAAAACCGGCGGCGTGGTCGGCTGTCATCCTTTCGGAGCTCCCAGTTGCGCCTTGCGTTTGGAGCCCCGCGCGCCCTGCGCTCACCGTGGGACGCGCTGTTTTACTTTAGCTCTTGCTTCTGCTGTGTCTGCTTCTGTCCTTTGCCCTCATGGTGCCAGACTACCGCTCCCTTCCATCCATCTCCTTGCCAGGGGCCGGAGTGGAAGGTCAATTCGTTCGAGGTCTGCCCTAAGAGCCGTGCCTTGCCGGCCCACTGAGATCCAGGCTGCCTGAGCAGCTTGGCCGACGTAGATCGGGGGGGCTGGGGACGGCCTGCCCTGGGGACAGCGGCTGGGTGGGCGTCTAGGGTACAGCCACGTACCTGAAATTTAGGATTGAGAAACAGGTGGTGACGCCTCCACTCTCTCCCCACACCCCACCAGGGAAGAAAACGCTGCATCTCCTGGTGTTTGGAGGAGGCGCGCAAAGAGACACAGCTGCACCCTGAGCTCGGAGACCTCCGACCACTGGGTCTCATAGGGCTGCCAGTTTCTTTACCCAGTAGAGATTTCTGACAACTGAGGTAAACCTTATGGTGCAGCTGAAGGGGGAAAGGAAGACCAGAAAGGGAAAGTGACTTACCCAAAATTTCAGGGAGTGGCTCATCAGCTTTCCAGCTTGCAGTCCATAATGTGGCTGGCTGCATATTCATCTGTAGCACAGGGAGACACAGGGACTTTTATTTGGGGAGTGGAGGAGAGACACCTCCCCCCACCCTCACCTCTAGTTTCCCCTGGCGCACATGATAATAGCAGGTGAGACACCTGCGCCCATGGGTGACTGGTCAATCTCAATTATACCGTTAGGAGAGCAGAGTGGGAATTCGTGTCATTGTTTGGGGACTGGGGTCAGGGGAGATGAACTGTGGCTAGAAGTCTTAAGTCAGGGCTCTCCCATGATGCCTCTTTTCATGTGAGCACTGCTCCCCACAACCTCTGAGTTGTGTCACACTGCAGTCTGTTGAGTGCGGGGTCCCCACGGAGAGGCCCCAGTGCAGGGGGTGGTCCAATGACCGTCCAGATTTAGCGCTGGCTGGAGACCCAGAGGCAGGTTTTACCCCACAGCATACTACCCCATCATCTGCAAAGGGAACCTCTGGGCCCTGTGGATGCTGGCCCCATGGTCACCTGGTGACTTGTATCAGGAACCCTTTCTCATTGTGGAGCAGAGCCATTGTATTTCAAGGAAAGCTCCCTTCCCTCCTCGAGCTTTGGGATCCAGTTATGTCTACGCATGCCCGTCCCTCCACCCCTCCACTGAGTCACTGCATGACCCCCACCCAAAGAGGGAAGGAGGGAGAAATTCTGGAATGAGGTGGGTGGGCAGGAGGGAGCTGGATTGTCCTCCTCTGGACTTCCCTTTCAGAGAAAACTCCACCCAATTATCAAATTACTGGGAACCTGGGCTGTGGGAGTGGCATGGGAGCCATGCTGCAGCTCCCACCCTTGCCTCCCCAGGTGCTCAGCCTGCCTGGGCTTAGAGCTTCAATGAAGAGCCTCCAGAGGTTGCTGGATCCACACACACACAGGGGTGGCCATCCCGCTGGTATGGAGCAAGTGCGTCTTGTCCCTTCAGTCCTCCATCCTGCCCTTCACCTGTCTGGACCTCTCAGCTCCCCCTGCTGCTCTCTTCTCCTTCCTGGGCCACGTCCTCGGTCATGTTAGGTGGTGGGGCAGGAAGAGAGAGTGAAAGGTGAGCCCTGCCACTTCCTTGCGAAGGCTCCCAGTTCTGGAGAGTTCCCTGAAGACATGCATCATAGTGAGCCTTCCAGAGAGCTGCAGCCAGGGCAAGCTCTTCCTTCTCCCCACTTCCTGGGAGTCATCGAAGTCCTTGAATCTGTTTTCTGCAAACCCAGGAGCATGGGGTGAGGCCATCCTGGGGTTGGTGTGGAGGGGAACATAGATGCAGGAAAGAGAGGTGTCCACTGCATTTGGGTGGTGCGGTTCTTTCAGCTGGAAATTCTGTACCCTAACCAGAAGAGAGACTCTCTTTCCCCACATGTCTGCTTGTGACCCTGCTTGCCTGGCCCTGGCCACTTCAGTGTGGCTCCCTTCCTCCTCAACAAAGCTGCTGAAGGTGAGATCCTTCCTGGCAGCGCCCTCTGCTGTCACCCACAGGGAGTTTCCTGACTCCACAGGTCTGATTTCACAACATTCCCCCTTTGTGGATGACTCCTGAGGAAAAATCCTGTTTTTGCCCCACTATAGGCTGGAAGAGGCTCATGGAGGCTGCTTTCTTTCCAGAATAGGCCCTGAGGGGAAAGAAGGTTTGACCTCAGGAGCTCTGGGTGGCCCTTGCTGGTGGTCAGGGGAGGTGAGGACCTGGTGTGGGGGCAAGGCCAGATAGGAGGGCAGTTTGCTTTTCTGAGGTGGTGAGCTCTCTATCTGTGGTGGCATTTAATTCCTTCATGACAGGTATCAGGTGAAATTTTGTAGTGATACTTCTTTTTTTTTTTTTTTTTATCCTCACCCGAGGACATTTTTCGATATTTTGTTCAGATAGAGTGGGAGGGAGAGAGAGAGGAGAGAGAAACATCGACGTGAAAGCGACACATCGAGTGGTTGCCACTCACACGACCCAACCAGGGCCGGGGACAAACTGCAACCAAGGTACGTGCCCTTAGCGGGAACCGAACCCGGGTCTCTCTGGACCGCAGGCTGACGCTCTAACCGATGAGCCAAACTGGCCAGGGCTGTAGTGATACTTCTTATATTGGGGAAGGGAAAGCCAGGCTTTCAGACACTAATTGATTAATCATTAACTTCCTTCTTTTCCAAAAAGAAGTTGGGGAGTCAGGAAAGGATGTGGGTCACCAGGGGCTGGAGATGGGAAGCCCATGGATTTGCCCTTAGAGGGACCAAGTGCAGACAGGATGGGCATCTCGGATCAGAAGCAGGAGTGTTACTTCTGCCCCTTTCAGGAAGCTTTCTCACCTACTGTGTGTGTGTGTGTGTGTGTGTGTGTGTCTCATTTTGGGGCATTTACTCCTCAGGTCTTTGCACTCACAGGCAGAGGGTCCAGACTTTCTTTACATGCTCAGTCATCTTTTCAGAGCACCCCAGGCCAAAAGACATACCTACAGTTTTGTTTAGCAAGTCATTAGGTCCAAAAACCATAATAATTGGTAGTTCTTAAAAAAAAGTCACATAAGTTAAAAGAAGACTATTTTTACTTCATTCTCACATAAATACAGTTACTTACCAAAGGGAAGCTGTGCCCACAGTTGGCAAAGACACCTCACTTTTTGTTCCCTGTGGATTTTCACTGGTTCTTGCTTTTTATCACAGCATCAGCCAGAAAGCCAGCTTCACAGATATATGATAACTTCCAAAGGAATGAGTCCCATCCCACCTAAAATGCAGCCACCTAGACCCAGTTGGTGTCTTTTCTGCAGATGATGATATTGCTGTGTCTCCCTCCCTTGAGTGTGCAGTGCCCTGGGAGTTTGCTGCAGTGGCCCAGGGAGCCTTGGAACCCAGTTGGGAAACCATGGCTCTAACAGAAGTAGCTCAGAGTGGCCCCCAGATGCATAGTCCTTCTCAGCTTCTCTGCCTCCTCATCCCTCCCCTGATCTCAGACACACCTCTTGGTGTGCCCTGCTGCACATTCAATCTGCGTGTTTCTGGATCTTTCCATTGGCCCATGTTTTTTCCTCAGTTTGTGGGCATATTTCATTCTAAGAGCCTCTCCTCTCCAACCCAGAGCCCTGGTCAAATTTTTGGCTCTGGAAGGTTTTCTTTGCAAATGCAGGCTGTCGAATCAGATGACTTCTCCAAGCCCTTTGAGATGGTGACAACAAAACATGCTCTGGGTTCTGAGCTCTGCCCGGTGCTGTGGTGCCTGATCTCACTCAGAGCCCCAGAAGCATCTGTCTCCAGGTGGGCAAAGGTTCCCCATGTCCTTGGAGGAAGGTGAAGCAGAATGGGTTCTCAGTCTCTATGGATTATGTGTTTCCCATGAGATTTAGTCCCTAAAGATCTGAATACTGGAGGCGGGTCTCAAAGTTTCTGAGGTTGTGTGGTGGAAGACCCTGTGCATGGAGAAAAGTTAGGGCTAGGATGCAGGGGTGAGGTGGGGGCATGTGCACTCATCTTTCTGAGCTGCTCTGTGGATGGAGAGTGAGGCCCCTTTCATTCCTGAGAACTAGTCCATCTGTCTCAAATTATCCCATAGCAAACACCCTGCTCGCAGTCGCCACTTACAACTACCCCTGAGACCTCCATTTTGATTTTGATAGGATGCTCTGACTAGACTCTGTGGAAGTAACTGGACCCTTAGGTGAGCCCCTCCTATATGAGAAAGTAGGCTCAGAGCGAGTGGCAGAGACTGAGAGGTGACTGGTTGAGACCTCTGTTTCTGGGCCCCACCCCTCAGGGACCCTCCACACCTTTCAGAACATCAACTCTGAGTCACCACACACTAGCCTGTGCCTCTGGATGTCATGTGGGAGGCTGTCATCCATAGCACCTCCTGAACAAGATTCCTCTGTGCATCCCAGCTTTAGCTCAAGTGACTTTCTGTTGGCATGACCTCCCATACCCTGCTCCAGTAAGTGCAGCCATAAGACTTCCAAATCTATGATTCTCAAAGCAGTGAATGGGCCTTAGAGTATCAGAAAAACA